GTGAGCTCTCCTAACCAATCGCTACGAAAGGGCAGCCAATTTCAAGGTACGTGGAGGTTCCTATAATGGGTTGCTATGGTTGCAATATGCACTTTACACACACACACACACACACACACACATACTTGCGGGAGGTTTCGAAGCTTTTTTTTTTTTGTATTTTTTTAATTTGTTTTTTGTGCGCTAAAATATGAAAAACAAAATGCTGCACCAAACTTGGCTGGTCGGCCGCGACCGAACCCGACCGATTCGGCCGTCGGCCATGACCGCGGCCGATTTTTTATTCCCGGTCATGACCGGGCGTGCAACATAGGTGAAGGCAAAAGGAGGGGAAGACGCACTAAGTAGTGGGATGCGGGTACACTGTGGCGGCAACGCGGGTAGTGTAGAACTGGTAGAAGAGGGAAGAGGGGAAGGGATTTTGAGGAAATACGAGCGGGGTATCGATTTGCCAGAGTGTAAGGTAATCAAGGGGACAACGGGATAATGACCGGGGACGTAGCCCGATGCCCTGCATCGGGACGTGCTCGAACTGAGGGACGGGGGGAAGGGGAGGGGGAGTGACTCCGTTACCTCCGCGTCGGCGCGCTCGAAGTCTCTGCAGCGCAGCTCTCATCTTCCTCTGTCGGCGACTCCAGGTCTCGGGTCGGATCGTCCGAAACGGGCAATTCGGTTCCCACCGATTGCTCTAGTGGCTGCTTTCCTTCCGCTATTTCTGCCCTCCGCCGTTCTTCTTCCGCAGGGTCCTCTCCCTGTGTCCCCGCCTGTTTCGCCTCTTCCTCCTCGCTTGCTTCCTCTTCTTCTTCTTCGCTTATTGCCCCTGACTCATGCTCACTTTACTCGCTATAATACCCGTCCTCTTCGGAGGTATCTTCCAATTCGTTTCCCTCTTCCTCGTCTTCTTCTTCTTCTTCTTCTACTTCTTCTGACGTCGGCTCACCTCGATCCAAGAAGAGAAGATCGATTATCTCTGCGGGGCTTAGGTAGTTACCGTGTGACGGGTAACTACGATTGCCCCAATTACCCTCCAAGCACGCCGACCACTGAAGATACGGCGTCAGGCTGCGCGAAAGAATATGCGGCGCCGAGCTCTCGTCGCAGTGCGAGACGACGTCGATTGGTAGATCGTCTAGCAGCTGCGTTAGGAGGATTAGAAGCTCCCCCACGATCGGCTGTCGATGTCCCTCTTCCACCGATCCGAAGACGAATCCCAACAAATCTCCTTCTACCCCCGTTCTCCAAGCTTGAACAATAAGTAACTCTACGTCTTCGTTTACGGCGGGGTGCTCGCTGTCCCTGGTCCACTTCAGTCTGATCTCAGCTAAACACGGAGACAGAGTCACATAAGTTTGCCACCAACCTTGCCACTGTTCGGGATTAATGAGAGAGACCGTCAGCGGCTGTACGGGGAAAGAGAGACGAGGGTGGAGCGCCGACTGCCAGAAGAGACTGAGAAGAGAAGGAAGACAGAGGAGAGGCTGAAGGTGGGAAACCTGTGATGGTTCATTGAGGACGCGAGAAGGTGGTGAGTGCGGGGAGAGGTACCGCGGGATTCTGCCGGAGAGCACGGATGTCGTCCAGGTCAATAATGTTCGTATTGACGACGCTATCCCCTCGCTGCGCAAGCAGCTGACTCCAGGAACTCGCCAACTCTTCCCCCCAATCTCGCAGCGAGACGAGGATGCTCGGATGCGCCCTCGGATCTACCCTAGTAATGTCTCCACTAAAGGAGACAATTGTCGAGACGTGGCTGGTCCCAGGCGCCGAGAGCCGCAGAAAGGCCGATGCTTCGGCCAACACTTGTGCCTTGCTGTTGGGTATTACAAATCGGAACTCTGCTGCTGCATGCATACTTGCCGTGCTGAAAAACTGAGCAAAGAAGTAACAAAACTTGTCAGGCAAAGAAAGGAGAGACAAGGACGAGAGGGGAGAAAGGGGGCCTCCAGAATTACCTCCATCGCCCATTGTCACGGGTCACTTCTTAGCACATGAAAGGATGGCCACTTGTCCGTACTGCGGCCCACTGACTGGTTCCGGTTCTTTCCTCCTTGGTGACCTTGGTCGGTCGGTGCAGTCGTGTTAGCCCGTCCGCGTTCCCGTGTCTTTCCGTCTTCCGATGGACGATGTCGAAATCGTACTCCTGCAGCCGCACTGCCCAACGTCTAATCATGCTCGTGTAATTAGTGAGCCTCTTGAGAACCAACAGGGTCTCGTGATCCGTGACGAGGAGGAATTTCGGCCCGTACAAATACGGATGGAAGTGTTGAATCCCCCACACCACCGCGTAGCATTCTCCTTGAGGTGCCGAATCATTTCTCCTTTCGTCTGGTACCGTCCTAGATGCGTACTCGATGACGTGCTCACGACCGTCTTTCCCCTTTTGCGCCAAAATAACGGAGATCGCCTCCGGTTGCCAGTCCGTGATGAGTACAAATTGCTTCTCGGGGTCGGGCCGGATCAAAATAGGGGTCGTGGCCAAGGCTTCCTTCAATGTGGCAAAGGCCTGCTCGCACTCAACGTCCCACCTCAACGACTAGTCCTTTCGCACGAGGTTCGTCAGGGGTCGTGCGATTGCTGCGAAACCCTTGATAAATCAACGGTAGTACGAGGGCAGCCCCAAGAAATCTCGAACTTGCGTCAGCGACGTGGGTGTCAAAGCGTCTCAAACTGCCGCGACTTTTTTCGAATTCGGTCGCAAGCCCCCTCGCGTCACCACGTACCCCAGGAACAAGATTTCCGACAGGAAAAACTCGCTCTTCTCCAGAGCAATCTTGAAGCCCGCATCTCGCAGCACTCCAAGTGTCCATTCAATGTGCTGCGCATGTCCATGAAACGATTCTGAATACACCAGGATGTCGTCCATGTACATGATAACGCAAAATTTCACCATTCTCTGCGTTAGCCGGGTCTTGGTAATGAAATTCTGGAAGGTCATGTTCAACGTGGACGGAGCGTTGCAAATGCCCATAGGGCATCGAACCCATTGCCTCGTGCGTTCGAACAGTACGAACACCGTTTTCGGACAATCCTTTTCCTTCACCAATATGTGGTGGAACCCATGGCGGATATCGAACTTACTAAAGTAGTTAGCACACCCAATCGCATCCAACAAATCATCAATCCGTGGGAGGGGATATACATCTTTGATCGTGATATCATTCAGTTTCCGATAACCGATGCAAATGCGAATGGATCTGGTCTTTTTAGGGACTAAAACCACGGGGAAGGACCACGGTCCGGTAGCGGGCTCGATCCAACCATTGGCCTCAAATTCTCTGATTCGTTCTAGGGCGGTTCGTCTTTCGACTAATGAGTACCAGTACAACTTACAATGAATCGGCGGGTGGGTGCCAGTCTGGATCTCATGCTGTATGACCAGAGATAGTCCTATGTCCGTGTCCTCTATACTAATCACCCTTTGATATTTGGTTAGAATGTCTGTGATGAGTCTATGTATCTCGTCCGGCACACAGTCCGACACATGCAGTTCGTAGTGACAATCTCGTATCGCCACCGGTAGTTGTTTTGTCCTGGCCACGTGAGTCTTTTTGGTGGGTGGAGATGATATAAAGGAATAGTCGGAACGCCAGGAGAAGATTGTGGCAACCATCTGAGCTTCCTCTTCCCTAATTGCCGCATGTTCCTCCGGGGTGATACCATCTTCGATATCCCGGAGGTCCACGACCTTCTTCTCGATTTTTAGTCCAATATCGAACGGGGCAAGGTCGTACAGCCCAGGGGGTTCCGAAGTCCAGTTTTCGACGCCCCTCTGTAGCAATCGGATTTCTTTTCCCTTGGTGAGCAATGAACCGGGAGGGATTTCTGAGATATCGCAGAAGGACCTCTTATCCTGATATCTGGGCAACAATGGGGTGGTTGCCTCGTGTATGGTTCGAGGGGGTTCCCAAGAATCCGTCAATCGAGATATCTGAATGAACGGTTCTCCCATGATCCGTGCCCTAGCTCGTTACGCATCCCTTGTGAAAACGAAAGTTTCCGCGGTTTTCTTTCGAAGTGGGTAGCAGATTCTTTATCGTGTTAGCTCGAGAATTTGAGGATCTGCATCGTCCTCACTCGCGGAGGTGGACGACGGTAGTGTGGTTGGAAGTCGGATTCGTCCGTGGATTCTTCCCACCTTATCATTCGCAGGATTTCGCAGGGTCCCGGTCGTTGTCGTTCAGACGTCGAAGTTGTCCAGAGGGTGAGGCGCATTGGAACGGTGTATGGTTTTCCTCCGGTGTTATTGAGGATGATTGCTTGCCGTTCGAAATCCACCATGGCCCGTAAGGCTATGAGGGCTGGTAATCCGACGAGGACATCGTATGTAGTTACGTTTAGGACCACTACATCGCCTAAGGTGTGGACTTTACCTATTCGGAAGGCGACGTTGGACATCCTTTCTGCAACTCGGATCTTACCTTCGTCGGCGGAAACGAAGTGATCGCCTTCCGCGAGAGGAATCACGTCTTTCCGTCGACCGGCCTGCTCGACCACCCGTAGTGAGATGGCTAGAACCGCGGCCCCGGAATCAAGGACCTCATTGTAGGGGTTTCCCCAGGCTTCCACGTCGCACTCCGCGGATCTCCACAGCAGGGCTTTGATCCGTAGGAAGTGATCGTCTTTCCAAATTAGGCCCATCCAGACGGGTCCGGAGGTGCTTAGCTCCTCCGACTTCGAGTCTTTAGCGAGAGCCTTTCCTTTTGCAGTTGCCAATTTGGCGAGGGTAAATCGCTTCCAATTCGTTTTGCAGTGCTGTAGCATCCGGTCGTTAGCCTGTTCCGAAATGGTTAGCAGGTGTCCGATGGGCAAGGGGATGTGGTGATCCAAGGCACGAACTATATCTAACACATTGATCTCTCCTGTAACGAACGCGGGTCCTCCGGATTCCATTTCCCTCGGGGAGGGCCTCCAATATGAAACTTCATTGTCGTCGGGGGCAGGTTGGATGACCCCTATCATGCCGAGGCCCAGGTATCCCAACGATATGTACTGGTCGAGCGGGATAAGCTCCGCCACTTCCTCCGTGAGCCCCGAAGGGCTTGCCCCGCTGTCGGTTTCTTCTACCATTGTGGTTGATGCCAAAGCTAACCAAGCAATTGAAAACAATGTTTGCACAATCATTGACAAAGCCAAATGGAGAGAGAGAGAGAGAGAGAGAGAGAGAGAGAGAGAGAGAGAGAGAGAGAGAGAGAGAGAAAGAAGAAGGGGGGAAGAAGGCAGTAGAACTCAACCCTTGAAATTCCCGAAACGCGACCACAATGGCCGAAAGATTTAGATAAAGTGTCGCCAATACAACAAAAAATAAACGTGGTAACCTGGCGTTGCTTACCATTGTGGCCATCCGACAAGGTCCGTTAGCAATTGGTGCTGCAGCTGCTGGCGCTGTTCTTGTTTGCGTGAGACAGTGGGGACAGTCCCGGGCTATGTGCCCAAGCTGATAACACGTGTAACAAACACTTACGTTAACTGTCGCCGCGCCCACTGCTGGAGCGGGGGCTGCACCTTGCATCATTGGTGCTGCTCTGACTGCAATGGGGCGCATCGATCTCATCAGTGATTCGATCCAAACACTGTACTCGCGTTGTTCCTTCTTACTTTCTTTCATTAGGCTAACCAGTGTTCGAGTGAGTTCTAATATCCCATTTGATTCGCTAGGCTTTCCAGGGGCTTCCGGGGGAGGCAGGGGTATGGCCACAACCGGTAATCCTGAAGCCATGTCAGGTATCGATCTCTTGGTTGCGACCTGCTCTAGGTAAGTGACTGGATTAGAGACAAAACCCATATTCTCAAATTTGTTCTGTAGTGCGGCCAACTCGGCTTTCGCTCTAGCCAGTTCCGAGGAGTCTCCATCTTTTGCTTTTGTAATTTCACCCTCATCGCCTGACTACGAAGCCCTTCGATAAATAGATCCCTCCCAACCTTTTCGTCCCTCTCGAATTTCACAAACAATCTATAGAATCTAATGCGAACTATGTGACAGACTCGGGGGGCTTCTGAACTCAGTCTTTAATCATAAAGAAGGCTTGTTTGGGATGGATAGAGTCGAACCTGTTCAAGAAGTCTCTTTCAAAGGTCGGGAGATCTATCCAGGCGTAAGTGCTAAACCAGTGATGCGTGTCCCCTCCCAGTCTAGCGGGGATGTTAATCCGAGCTTCGTCATTGTCATATTGTTGTGCACATAAGGTAGCTAACCATGCCCCAACCAGGTGGTGTGCAGGGTCGAAGAGATACAAATCGGGTGGAGCCGTGGGTGCGTGAGCTCAAACGGGTGGTGCGGGAACAGGGGCCCCGCCTAGCTGTACATTGACATTTTGTGCCTGATTGGCGTTCGTATTGGCGGTCGGCTGTCCGACCGATCGGTTTCTAAGTACTATAGGGTCGCATCGTGGCGTGTTCCGCTGTCTAGCCCGCCCTCTGTTCGACAGATCGTACTGTGCGACTTATCTACCCACTTCTCTTATAAGCTCACCACGTGTCGGCTCCTATACCAACCTCACGCCCGGCGCGACTTCCTGATCGGAGTGGGATGGGGGCCCGGAAGTGCGAAAAAGGGGGGGTGCCAAGGATTTTAGGAAAGTGGGGGTGGAGTCCCMRGTCGGAACTGAGATCTCCTATGGCAAGTTTTAGGGACAATGGTGCAAAATGGTGCGCACGGATCGTATCTGGCGTCTCAGCCTTCGAGGAAGGGGTTATGGCCTTTGCCAGTGGCGTCGCCGCGGTCAATCCCTTGCCTGGTGCATTGATGGGACACCGTGGCGGTCGTGCTGCTGTCGGCGCCGCTCGTAACAAGCTTCGAAATCCGACGGGGCGGGCCGTAAGCGGAGATTGTGCAACCGCTGCTCAGCTTCGGTTCGAGTTCGGCGAATAAATCCTGAAGCTTGGCGTGTGTGCTACTGCTGGCAATCCTCGCACTGTGGGCTGGGCAAATATCGAGCTATGAAATTCCACGGTACCACTGTGAGCTGGTGATATGGAATGAGGAGGTGAAAGGGAGGGAAACTGGTAGTGATAACTACGAAGCCCGGGGATATGTAGTATTGAGTATTGTTCGCATCTGGGTAGTCTGGGCCCCTAGGGTCGCGGGTTATAGCCGAGTGGAAATCCCCCGCGCACAATCATTCGTTATCTGTCAGACAGGGGAATTTCGGGTTTCTCAAGTTTCCCCGTCGTCTGAGTTGTTTGCCTTTCCGGTACTCCCGGTACTCCGGATCCCTCAGTCTTTCACGATCGGTGATCCAAAAGGGACTTTTCTCGGCCATATCTGGCTAATGAATTCGATTTCTCGCATCCTTCCAATAAACTCGGGGTCGGCTCATGCAGACGCGCTCATACGCCGCGACCTGGATCTTCGAGATCGAGGTCGTACATGAGCGTACGCTCGAGCGGTGGTGAATCAGGCTTGGGTTTCCTGTGTTGCGATAGCGATCGTATTCTACATGCAACTATCCTACTCATGCTAGGTAGAGTGAGATCTAGATGTTTCATTCATATCCATACCATTCAAGTGACAAAAAGGAGAGAAAAAAGAAGAGGGGGGGGGGAGGACAATCAACATCTCACAACGTTCTTGGCGGCTTTATGACGATCAAGGACGAACAATAAAAACCCCGACATCCAAAGCGGGTACTTTCAATCAGATGCAGATGGAGGATAAAATTAGAATAGCATCGCAAAACAAAATTGGGAATCCGGAAAGATCATTAATGAAGAAGAGTTTACACCATTTCATACATTCATACGAAGCAAAAGCAGCAAAGAAAATTCGAGACGATTTACAAGGAAAGGTAAAAAAAAAAAGCTGCGACAGAAATCGGCCATAGCAAAAGCCAACATTATATAGACGAGCAAAAGAAAGAACTTCATCCCGCACTCACAACTACTCTCTCTTTCTCTCTGCGCTCCACACTCCCAATGCGGGCAGTCCGTCGCCTCGCATCAACACAGAGTTGTCACCCCATTTGGTTCGAGCATGCAAGCCAGGTTCGTCCGTGCGCCACAGTCTGTCGCGGCCCCGCACGTCAACCCCACATACCCGACACCAGCTCGTCAGATTGCCTTACT